TCAATCCACAAAAGGCAATCTAATACAATCTTATTTGCTGCGACAAATTTTATCTTGTTCTTTAATCAATCCACAAATGGCAATCTTATATAATTTTATTTGCTGCGACAAAATTTATCTTGTTCTTTAATCAATCCACAAAAGGCAATCTAATACAATCTTATTTGCTGCGACAAATTTTATCTTGTTTTTTAATCAATCCACAAAAGGCAATCTCATATAATTTTATTTGCTGCGACAAAATTTATCTTGTTTTTTAATCAATCCACAAAAGGCAATCTCATACAATTCTTATCTGCCGCGAGAAAGTTCTATGAGAAATTCTTTTAATCAATCCACAAAAGATAATCTCATACAATTCTTATCTGCTACTGCGATTAATTTCTTTTAATCTCATACAAATCTTATATATGACCATGTTTTGTCAATCAAAGTTCTTTTAATCAATCACAAATTTTTTAATCAACTCATAAAAGGCAATCTCATACAATCTCATATGATCAAGTTTTTAATCAATCCACAAAGGCAATCTTTATTTGTGAGAAAGTTCTCTTATCTTTTTGAGAAAGTTTAATGTAGGTTATAAACTAGAAAGAAATTTAGATCAATTTTCAAAAATATATTGTTCGAAAAGAAATAAAAGTGATCTAATTTTCTTCGTTGCGAATGTTTAATCAATCAAATATTTTCATAAAAGTAAAATTTACAAACAATTTTTTTTAAAAATGTTTCAAAAATCTTTGTAATCTTCTTTTTTTTCTGTGTAATCTTTGGTTTGTTTCTTACAAACCTTCTTGAAGCCGAATACCATTTTGATATCTACCAAATTTTTAATAAAATTTTTTCGTCAAAAATTTTTTTTTGGATCTTTGAGTTATTATTTATTTAGTAACTACAAGTTTAATTATTGCATTATATTCTTTTTGGTTTTGGAATTCATTAATAAGAACTTTTCCAGAATATTTCATTTATTAAAAGTTTTTTCAAATTAAAGAAGAAACAAACATCTTTTGACAAGAAAAATTTCTGTCTTCCTCAACCACAAGCCAATCATCTTTCGAGAAATGTTACAAACTTTGTTATACTTTCAAATTACTGGAGAAGATTTTATTTTGAATTAAAGAAGAAACCTTTCTCAAATGGCCTATTAAGGTGTATTTTAAAAAAATAAGAATTTGGTCAAAGAAATTTACCGGAAAACGAATTGAATGAGAAAGAACATTTGTGATGAGAAACATCATACAAACAACTTTGAACAATTAGCTTCTTTATTGAAGCTGACAAATTTGATACAATTTGTCTCAAAAATAGGTGATTCCGAAGAAACGTCGATAAATAATGGGTTATTCAATAATCCATTATTAAGTAAATATTGGTCATTTTTAAACAATTAGAAATCAATTGTTTTTAATTTTGTCAGAATTATAGCAATCTTAACTTTTATCGAATAATAGTAAAAAAGTTTATTTTACAATTAGTTATTTATTTACAAGTTAAAAGTTTAATACAATAAAAATTTTTTTGCGTATTCATATAAATTATCTAAATCTAATAAGTAAAAATGGTTTTTAAAAACTTTGTTGAATACATTATTTACACAGTGTTCAAAATCCTCTTCATATTGAGAAACTCTCCATTTCCAACACATTCATCATATTGATTTTTAATAAATCCCCTTCCTTTTAAATGTAAATTTGCCCAGGAACGAACATGAGCTTCAAAAAGACCAATCCAATTTGTCAATTCATCATATAGTTCTTCTTCTTCATTTCTAATAGCTTCTTGATATTCTTCATATCTTGTATAAAAATTTAAATGTAATATAGAAATTTTTTTTTTATCTATAATAAATTTTTTTTCTTCTTCGACTGTTGGTATTGGGGATTGAGATAAATCATCTTTATTGATATTCGAACAAGACGAATAATTTTTCCATTCAATGTTTTGAGAACAATTGTTCCAATTATCAAAAAAAATTTGTTTTTTAAAAGTTGATTTGATTTTTTTAATGATGTTTTTAATAAAAGGCATTTTGTAAATTATATAAGTTTTTAATCTGACGAATTTGTAAATTTGTAAAGTCTTTATATAGATAAAAAAACTATAAAAGACCATGATAATAAAAATTAATAACTTTT